GTCGACGAACGCGTCCGTCGCCGACGAGCAGTGCGCGACCGTCGAGCCCTACGCGTCGATGACGTCGCGGAGCCTGTGCGAGGTCTACGCGGGGCTCCGCTACAACCTCTCCGCGCCGCGGACGCGGTACACGCGGTGGCTGAACCACGCCGCGGAGGCGACGGAGCTCGCGGCGGCGCTCATGGAGGACCTGGGCACGGGCGACGTCACGGTCGTGCGGTCCTTCGCGTCCGGGTCGTTGGAGGTCCAGTGGAACATCACTTTAAAAGACGCGGACGCCTACGACGTCCTGCCGCCGCTCTCCGTCGACGGGTCGCGCCTCGTCAACGACGGCGTCTCCGCCGTCGCCGAGGAGCTGCGGCCCATGCCGAAGCGGCTCCGGGGCGTCGGCCACCTCTTTACGAGAGAGTCGTCGACGTTCGTCGAGCAGGCGCTGCTCCGGCCCTACACGGCGCAGCGCCAGGACGCCTTCGGCTTCGGCTGCGCCCTCGACGGCGACATGGGCGCCGTCGGCGCGCCGAACACGGACAGCGTCGAGAGCGGCGTCAACTCCGGCGCCGCGTACGCGTACGAGCTCACGTTCGCGTCGACGGGCTTCGCGAACGCCACCTACGCCGTGCCCGAGGGCGACGCCGTGGCGCTGCGCGTGGGCCGGCGCGACGGCGAGGGCTTCGCGCGGACCATCGCGCCGGGGCGGAACTTGATCCTGTTCGTCTGGACGTTCAGTCGGAACGCGGACGTCACGCAGCAGGAGTGGCTCAGGGACCTCTACGGCCTCCACGACGACCGGATGCTGGCGCCGGGGTCCACGCCCGCGGAGTTCTTGGGCGCCGGCGCGGCCCACGGCCGCGCGTCCTGGTACGGCGGGCCGTCGAACTCGTCCCAGTGGGTCGACGGCGCGAAGGACGATCTGGCCGCGTCCGACTACGTGCCCATCGGCCAGGGCCGGGGCATCATCAAATTAAAAGACGGCGACTACTTCGTGCCCATGAGCTTTAAGCTCTACAACGAGATCACGCTCCAGACGACGGACGACCAGCTCTACGAGAAGCCCGACGAGGACGTGGTCGTGGGCGTCTGGCTCCCGGGCATGTTCCCGTCGCCGCTGGGCGCGCTGCGCACGGTCGTGACGATCCTCGACGACGGCGACGGCGTCGACGACTCCGACGCGTCGACCTACGAGCACCTGGGCGAGGGGGAGACGTTTGGAACCGCGGGCTTCGGGTCGGCCCGGCCGCCCTCGGACGTGCCCGAGGTCGGCAGGGGCGCGGGCTTCGCCGTCGCGGCCTACAACGACACGCAGGGCGGGTCTTTGGTCACGGAGGACCCCAAGGTCCAGGAGGCCGTGGCCGTCTTGGGCGCGCCGAAGCACAACGGCTCGCGGGGGCTGGCGCTGGTCTACCGCCGCGTCGGCGGCGCGTGGGCCCTCGAGCAGACGCTGACGCCCTACGACACGCGCAACGACACGGCGGGCCTGCTGCCGGCGGCGTCGCCCGACGAGTTCGGCTGCGCCGTCGCGGGCGCCGTCGTCCACGGCCGGCCGCTCGCGGCGACGGTCCTCGTGTCCGCGCCGGGCGCGCCCGCGGTCTACGCGTTCCAGCGAGTGAACGTGACGCGCGCCGTGCCCGAGTACCTGCTGGACGCGCGCTACGACGTCAACGGCACGTTGCTCAACTACACGCGGGTCAACGCGACGGCCGCGACGTACGCGTGGACGCTCGAGGCGACGCTCACGGCGGCCGCGGCGACGCGGCGGAGCCACAACTTCGGGGGCCGCGGCGCCTTGGCCGTCGACGGCGACGTCGCCGTCGTCGGCGCGTCGGGCCTCGAGTGCGTCTACGTCTTCCGGCGGACCTGGGACGGGGCGGCGTTCGCGTGGAACGGTGCGCCGGAGCTCGTGCGGTCGCTCGACTACGACTACGACGTGCTCCTCGGCGGCACGTGGACGCGGGTCCACGAGCAGGGCTTCGGCACGGCCGTCGCCCTCTCCGGGAACACCCTGGTCGTCGGCGCGCCCTTCGCGGACTACGGCAACAAGGGCTCGCCGGACGACGTCGAGACCTACGACACGGACGGCCTGGACAACCGGCGCCTCGGCCGGGGCAAGGCCTACGCGTTCTACTCCGTGCCGCCCCAGGCCATCGTGACCGTGCGCGCCGACAGCGTCCTCTTCAACGGCACGTGGCGCCTCGAGGTCGACGACTTCCGCAACGCGAGCTGCAAGACGGCGGAGCTGGCCTACGGCGCGACGGCCGTCGAGCTCCGCGACGCGCTCGACGACGCCTGCAGCCCCGGGGGCGCCGTCGCCGGCGGGCTGGGCATCGAGGTGTCGCGGAGCGAGCTCGCGCCGACGGCCTCGGGCGGCGAGCGGCGGTCCTGGACGGTGACGTTCTTGGGCGAACCGGACGCCGCGCCTCCCATCAAGGCGGCGTGGCGCGGCTACGGCTGCGGCGTGTGCGATTTGTTCAACGACGGGTGGGCCCAGGCGCCGGACCGCCAGGTCATCGTCGACTTCTCCACGGACGACGGCGTCGTCTACGACCGGGGGGGCATGGACCAGGCCGCGGCGCTGCAGCCGGACGACCGAAGCTCGGGCTCGTGGTTCGGCTACGCCGTCGCCGCGCACGGCGACGCGGTCGTCGTCGGCGCGCCCCACGCCGCGGGGGCCGCGATGACGACCTGGGACTTCGAGACGGGCGACCTGAGCGGCTGGCGGGCGACGGGCGACGCCTTCGACGACCAGCCGACGTTCGGCGACGGGCCGAGCTACCGCGAGAACATGGAGTACCCCGTCGGCAACGACGGCACGGGCTCGGGCGGCGGGCCGCCCCAGGCCGCGCGCCTCCGGGGGCGCTACTTCGTCGGGACGCTCGACGACCGCCAGGGCGCGCGCGCGTCCCAGGGCAGCTACCTCGTCGCCGACGACTACGCGGGCGCCGCGGGCACGCGCGGCTCCGACGACGCCACGGGCACGCTGACGTCGGAGCCCGTGCTCGTGCCCGTCGCGTCCGGCGTCGTCTCGGACGGCGCGCCGCTCGCCGTGAGCTTCCTCGTCGGCGGCGGCTGCGACCCGCTCACGGAGTACGTCGAGCTGCTCATCGACGGCGCGGCGGTGGCGCGCGCGACGGGCGCGTGCGACGAGCGCATGCACAACCGGAGCTTCGACCTGAGCGCCTACGAGGGGCGGTCGGCGACGCTGCGCGTCGTCGACGCGTCGAAGAGCCGCTGGGGCCACGTCAACGTCGACCACTTCCGCTTCTCGTGGCCCGCGCGCGGCTTCGGCGTCGGCGCGCTCGCGGGCCCCGCGGCGACGACCGCGGCGGACGAGGCGGCCGTCGCCGCGGAGGTCGCGGGCATGAACTCCCTCTACGCCGTCGGCGGCGGCCGCGCGGGCGAGACCGCGCGCGCGGGCGCGGCCTACGCGTTCCGCCGGAAGAGCGGCAGCGACCCCCTCGCGGCCTGCCGCGGCGACAAGGAGGACTGCGCCTGGGAGTACATGGACAAGCTGCTCCCGTCGGACCGGCGCGCGGGCGACGGCTTCGGCTACGCCGTCGCCGTCGACGACGACGCGGGCGTCGCCCTCGTCGGCGCGCCGAACGCGGACGCGACGACGCGGTGGAAGCTGCCGCCGCCGCTGCGGCCCGTGGGCCGCGCGCCCGCGCGCTACGAGCCGACGGACTGGGTCTGGTACCAGTCCGAGTACGCGACGGCCTTCGAGTCCGACTACCTGGACCGCGCGTCGCCCGTGCGGCTGCCCATGGACCGCGACGACCGCGAGCACAACTCGCGGAAGCTCCGGAATCTGGGCGACGGCCGGACGCGGAACCCGAGCGGCGCGGGCGCCGTCTGGGCCCAGCGGGCCCGGGACGTCTTTGTGGATGAGGTCGAGCGGCCGCACCCGCACCCGTCCGTCGACGAGGCGCGCGACGCGGGCGCGCTCTACGTCTTCGACCGCGAGGACGAGGACGTCGACGTCTACGGCGTCACGCACCAGTGCCCGCGCTGGGGCGGCCTCGAGGTCGCGAAGCTCGCGGGCACCGTGTCCCCCTTCGCGCGGCAGCACCTCGGCGCGGCCGCGGCCGTGGCGGGCCGCGCGCTCGTCGCCGGCGCGCCCGAGGACGACGCCTTCGGCGAGGGCGCGGGCGCCGCGGTCGTGCTCGACCGCGACGCCGCGCGCGTGTCCTTCGCCCAGGCCGAGTTCTCCGTCGTGGAAGGGTTCGAGTACGCGACGGTCATGGTCTCGCGCGACGCGCTCTACGCCGAGCGGCCCGTCACCGTGGCCTACTCGACGGAGGACCTCACGGCCAAGGGCGTCGACGACGGCGGCTATTTAAAGTGCAGCGGCGGCGCGCCGAACTCCGCCGCGAGTTCGGGCTGCGGCGACTACCGGCAGACGTCGGGCGTCGTGACGATCCCGAAGGGAGCGACGACGGCCGTGTTCTACGTCTTCATCGTCGACGACCCGTGCTACGAGCCGACGGAGTACGTCCAGCTGAGCCTCTCCGCGCCGGGCGCGCCGACGCTCCAGGGCGAGGGGTTCCTCGCGAAGCTGAGGATCGACGACGACGACTGGCGCACGGCGTCCTCGACGGTGTACTGCCCGGACTCGGGGTTTCTCTAGTTAACCGCGGTTGTAGACCGGCGCTTGTGCGGGCCTCAGGCTTGCCTGGCCTGGCGTGCCGCGCTCCTCGCCCGGGCCTGGCCGAGACCCACGGGGAAACCGGACTCTGGCTGGGAAGAGCGCCTCTAGGGCGCGTCTCAGGCCTCGTGTCGACGACTCGGAAGTCGACTCGGAAGTCGACTCGGAGGGCGGCGATGGCCGCCTGGCGGTGCGGGCCGACGGTGCGGCGGCTCGTGCACTTGCGGAGATCGCGTCCCGGCCTCGGGATGGCTTCGGTCGCGTGAAGGAGCCTCCCCGGCCTCTGGACCGAATGGCCTCCGAGGGGGGCGCGCCGACGCCGACGCAGGAGTCGACGCGCTACGACAGCTCCCTGGGCCTCCTCACGAAGCGCTTCGTGGCCCTGATCAAGGACGCGCCCGGCGGGATCTTGGACCTGAACCAGGCGGCGACGCAGCTGGAGGTGCAGAAGCGGCGCATCTACGACATCACGAACGTGCTCGAGGGCATCGGCCTCATCGAGAAGCGCACGAAGAACAACATCGCGTGGAAGGGCTCCGGCGTCGCGCCGACGGACGCCGACGCCGCGACTTTAGCCGAGGTCCGCGCGGACGGCGCGCGGCTCGCGCGCGAGGAGGCGGCGCTGGACCGCTGCGTCGAGCACCTGCAGCGCGCGCGGTCCGACTTCCAGCGGCTCCACGCCGACGAGCTCAAGGTGACGCACGCGGACCTGCGGACGATCCCGGGCCTGGCGCGCGAGACGGTCGTCGCGCTCCGCGCGCCGCCGGGCACGGTGCTCGAGGTGCCGGACCTGGACGACGGCATGGAGGGCAGCGGGTCCCGGCGCTACCAGCTCCAGCTCCGGTCGCCCGCGGCGCCCATCGAGGTGTTCCTCGTCGACGACGCGCCGTCGGCCGCGGCCGCGGCCGCGCCGCGGCACGGGGACGCGGAGGACGACGAGGTCGCCGCGGCGAACTCGGGCGCGGGCGCGCGCCGGCCGCCGGCGAAGCGCCACCGGTCGCAGACGCCGCCGAGCTTCGGCACGCCCCGCGTGCTCTCGAAGCACACGCCGACCGCGGACCAGCTCGACAAGGACTTCGTCTTCGACATCGGCAACGTCGGCAACGAGACCTGGAGCGCCGCGCCCGCGCTGCCGAAGATCCCCCAGCCCGAGTGAGCCGACCGAAGCCGCCCGGACGCCCTGTTGTGCACCACCTGTCCCTGTGCCCACGCCGCTCCCTAAGCGAAGCTGCTGCTGTACTACACGTGCCGGCTCTCGGCCACCAAGGAGGAGCAACGAGGGTTAGTCCCCCTCGCGCCAGGAGTGGCGGCAGGCGAGGCACGTGAGGAAGTAGAGATCCCGCACCTCGGACGTGCCGTAGCTCGTCGACGGGAGGGAGACGACGGACGCGGTGCACCGCGTCGAGTCGCACGCCGGGCAGGCGAAGCCGGCGACGTCCTCGGCCGCGGGCGCCGCCTCCTCGCGGGGCCGCTTCCGCCGGCTCTTCGCCGCGTCCGTCGCGCGGTCGCCCGGCGCCATGGCGAGCAGCGCCTCCGGCGCGAGCGCGCCCGTCGCGACGCGCCGCCGGAGCGCGTCGTTGCGCCGGAGGTCCGCGATGAGCCCCCGCGCGTCCCCGCGGAGCTTCGCCGCGTCGCCGCCGCAGCGGGCGCGGAGCCCGGCGCCGACGGCGCCGGCGACGGCCGCCGGGAGGCCCGCGTGCTCCAGGAGCCCGTCGACGGCCGCGGGCGCGGCGCGCCGCGCGGCCTCGGCCCGCGCGGCGATTCTCCGCTTCATCGCCGCGACGACGCGCGCCGCGAGGCCCGCGGCCTCGCCGTCCCGTTTCCGCAGCGCGTTGGCCGCCCGGCCGACGCCGGACGCGAGCACGGCGGCCGCGTCGTCGACGTCGAGGCGCTCGAGGCGCCGGAGCGCCGCGACGGCGCCGCCGCCCGCGAGGTCCGCCGCGATGGCCGCGAGCACGGGCGCGAGGTCGCCGCAGGCCGCGGCGGCGCGACCCACGGACGCGCGGAGCGTCTCTCCCGGGCGCGCGGGCCGCGCCGCCGCGGAAAAAACGTGGAGCGCGCGCGGGCCCCGGTCGACGTCCAGCACGAGGGTGCCGGTCTGCGCGAAGCCGGCGACGGCGACCGTGACGCCCGCGGGCGCCGCGCGGGGCGGCCGGTCGCGGCGGCCCGCGTCGTCGTCGTCCGCCGCCGCGGGCAGCCTTCGCGCGAGCTCCGCGACGAACGCGACGGGCAGCTCGACGCACTCGAGGCCCTCGGCGCTCGCGAGCGCGTCGCGGCACGCCAGGGCCGCCCGCTGCGCCGCGTCGGCGCCCCGCGCGGCGACGGCGTCCGCCGCGCCCGCGGCGTCGAGGTCGCCCGCGGCCGCGGAGGCGTCGTCGAGCGCCGCGAGGACGCGGTAGCACGCGCCGCCGAGGTCCGCGCGCCGCGCCTCGCGGCGGCCGTCGTCCAAACCCCAGGACGGCGCGCTCGCCGCGGTCCAAAATTTCCGGAAGGCCGCGACGGCGTCCTCGGCGCCGTTCGCGAAGTCGACGACGCGCGGCCGGTCCGGCTTGCCCGGCGCGGCGCGGTTCGCCCGCGAGTAGATCTGCACGAGGCGCGCGGCGGACGCGACGACGCGATCCACGTAGAGGCAGCAGAGCCGCGGCTCGTCGAAGCCCGCCTCCAGCTTGCCGCAGACGACGATGACGTCCGCGGCGGCGAGGGAGGACTGGTTGAGCCGCGCCTCGTCGACGGCGCCGCCGCGGCCGTCGTCCACCGCGCCGCTGAGCGCGCCGTAGACGACGCCGCGGACGCGGGTCCTGAGAGCCCGCGTCCAGGCGACGACCGCGCGCCGGCTCCGCGCGACGACCATGGCCTTGCCCCCCGCGTAGCGCCGCTCCCGAAAGTCCGCGGCGACGAACGCGGCCTTGGCGCCGACGACGGCCGCGTGCTCCTCGACGGTGCCGACGTCGCGCCGCGCGCCCCTCGAGGCCTCGCGCTGGTGCGCGTCGAGGATCCGTATCTCGATGCGAGGCGCGGCGAACTGGCGGAGCACGTCCAGGCAGAGGCCGCGCGCGACGGCGTCCTTCAGCGGCAAGCAGTGGAGCGGCCGCAGCAGCTTCGACGACTCGTCCATGGACCCGAGCGCGCGGAGCGTCCGCGGCGCCGGCGTCGCCGTCAGGCCGACGACGGCGCGCAGCGAGCCGCCGAAGGCGCCTAGGAGCGCCGCCCACGCGCCGTCGGCGTCGTTCGAGTAGGACCGGTGCGCCTCGTCGACGACGACGGCCGTCGCGCCGCCCGTTGCGACGGCGCCGCCGAGGCGCAGGAACTTCTGGAGCGTCGAGAAGACGACGCCGCGCCGCGACGCGAGCGCGCCGCGCAGGTCGTCGACGGACTCGACGCGGTGCACCGCGTGGCGCGCGCCGCAGACCTGGGCAGCACAAGGGTGATTCAACGTCGCTCCACATGGCGTTTCGCGCGCGCGCGTTCCGGGAAAAGCATCCACGCTTCGAGACCGTCCCGAGAGATGATCGCTCGTCTAAAAGTCAGCCAAAACGAGTGGAAAATGGCCGAGATATGAGCCTTTGAAGTTGGGAATTTCGCTCTCTTGTGCTGCCCCGCCGCAGACCTCGGCGCAGACGCCGAAGAGCTGCTCGTCGAGCTGCGTGCGGTCGTTGACGACGAAGACGCGCAGGCCGCCGTCGACGAGCGCCGCCGCGAGGCCCGCGACGGTCAGCGACTTGCCGCTGCCCGCCGCGTGCTGCACGAGGCACCGCGCCGGCGCGGCCGCCGTCGCGGCCCGCGCCGCCAGCGCGACGCGCTCGACGGCGGCGACCTGGTGCGCGCGCGGCGCGAGGCCCGCGGCGCGGAAGTCGCCCGCCATCGCGGCGCGGATCGCGGCGCGGCGGGCTTCGAGGTCCGTGGGTGTCGGA